TTCTGAGCCACTGAGAGGTCTGTTAACTTGCCTGTGGTCACGGAGCCTGTATGAATGGGGGGAAGGGCTTCAACCTGGGTCTTCTTAACCACTATAATATTGCCTCTCTTCTTTCACATTAGCACGTGCTTAGCAAATATCTGTTGTCTTGACTTATTCTCCAAAAAAGTTCAACACATTTAAACCTATTTGAATCAGCAGTGAAAAAGTGAGTTTATTTGTTTCTCCACGATGCTACCGGCATTGACTTTCATTGCTTTTCGTCATTTTTTTTGCATTTTGATGGGTATGAGATTCCCATTCGTTCTGAAAACAAGGCAGCAGCTTCCATAAACTGCTGAGAAACCAGGTCTCTCCGAAGCCCAGGAGAAGTGGTGGTGTTATCCTGCTGTGTCATGTTGGAGAAGGGCTTTGATCAAAAGGCACCGTGGTTTTTCCATGGACTGTTCTGTTTAGTTAAGCTAAGTCATTATTCTTTTTCCTGTAAGCCCTACAAGCAAACCAAACCCAACGAAACAGAAGACTGAATTCTGGTTACTGAACATTCATATTTATAGTATTATTAATATTCTAACAGCAAGCAATTTTTCTTTTAAAGTTAATTTTTGAAATTTTACTGTAGCCTTAGGTTTGACATTATTATTTGGGAGTCGCTTTTTAAAAAGGGGAACCTAACTAATTTTCATAATATAAACCAGTTTAAAAATAGTATTTGATGTAGAGAAATCAGCTTCTTCCTAGGGACTTCTTAGGACATATCCAGTAAATAAAGTGTGTCATACCAATAGACCAACCCCCTTTTATTGACTTCTTAGCAGCAAAAGAAAAGGTAACCTACCCAAAGTCCCTTGTTTATTTTAGCAGAAGAAATACAGGATAAATGCTGTTAATACCACTTCTTTCTGGTGGCCCTGCTGACCAAGCCTACAAATTTCATCCTGATCTCTTGGTTTATTCTAGCATTTGTTTGTATCTGATCATGCCATTGGTATTCTGAGTGGAATGAGCCTCAGACGGCACTGGAATAATAAACAGTCGAACAGCTTATAATGCTAAAAATGAATTTTAAAACCTATTGTTACACAAAGATAAAACATCACAAAATTAAAATGGATTTTGTAACTGGCTTAAATGAGTTTCTATCCCTTCACAATGGTTGTGTGATTTTTCTCCTCCTGATATTTTTTTCCTTTTAAACAGAAGAGTCATCATTTTGGCTTCCCTTGTATGGTAACATGTGCTGCCGATTAGTCGCCCAGCCAGCTTGCATGGCTGAAGATGCATTCAAAGGATTTCTTGATCAGCAGGTTCGAATGCTCTTCCATATCCTTTAGCAGTAGTGAATGTCTGTTTGAAGTATTAGAGAATATTACACCCAATTAAATCTGTATATACTGATGTTGTTCTCTGGTCTTCTTCCAATAGGGAAAAGTCTGTTGTGGAATATCATGGTTTATGGAGTTATTAAAGTGTTATGTCTCAGTTTGATCAATCATTAGACTATTGTTGGTGTGCTTACATCCTCATTTTATAAACTAAGAAGATCTTTGTTGGAATGGGGTTTACAAGGGGAAAATCCAACACAAGGTGGAAGCTAAGAGGTTCCTGCTGTAGGGTTCTTGGGCTCAGGATTGTAGTCCAGTCCAGAGGTTTGGGAAGGTGCTCAGCTGCCCCAAACATCTAGAGGGGACGGGGGATGATCAGTGTCAAGAAGGCGCCCATCTACTTCTCTGTGTGTCGTGACTGTAAGGGAAGTGGGCGTGAGCACATGTTTGTGTGTGTGTGTGTGTGTGTGTGTGTGGGTACATACACACATGCATGTGTTTGTGTGCTATGTCTGTGAACTTAAATTTTTTTGATAATGATTTCAATGTAATTGATTTCCTGTGTAATCCTATGTATTTTATTTTATGCATTTAAAAACATTATTCTGAGAAGAGATTGTTATTCTGAGAAGAGATTGTAGATCACCCAAAGGCTCTGGGACAAACGGTCAGGAACTCTTGGTGTCTATGTCAGGGGGGAGGGTTTGGCTAGAAGGAAGCCTTCTGTTGCATAAGGAACTCTTTTCCCATCATCCCAGCTCTGCGTTGGATGTTCAGTAGCAACAGAAGGCCCCTTCTTGTGAAGTCCCTGATTTGGGGAGGGGGAAAAGCTTGACACCATTCCCATAAGGCAGTTACTGGCAGAGATGAGATTTTGGCACTGTTGAGGCCCCTGGGCTTCCAAATCTGCCTCTATGCCACCTACTACTGATTTATTTATAACCATAAATAGTTATTTCCATCCAGTAAATAATTCATTATGGACTATAGTGAATCAATAGCTTTTTTCCGAGAGAGATTCCATTATTAGAAGAAAAGAAAATTTGCATTCTCACTGAGCAGTTGACATTTGCAGTGTTCCCAGCAAAGTGTTTCAAAACAAGATTTTGAAAATCACCAAGTTATTTTTCTAATTTTGCCAGGTCATTTGATAGATTGCCACTGTGTTTGGAGCACTAATTTTTAATAGACTTGCTTCATCTGGTGAAAGATCTCTTAGAACAATGTATAGATTATGATTTTGTGTGGGGAATAGCTCTGTGGTATTTATTTTTTAGTCTAGATTCTTTGTGAATTTGGGACTTTAATTCCCTGAAGCTAACTTGCTTTTTGATCTCTGGAAACTGATTTACTTCACATGGAATTAAAAGGGAAATCTCTTGTTGGTTTCAAATTGTAAAAATAGGGTAAACTTGGAGAATTTCAAAATTTTATTAAAATTAGCAAAATTGAGAAAGTTGTTTGATTTGAAATTTGTTGATTATTTCTTCTTCAGGTAATGGTGGAAGGCCTAATTATGTGGAAAAGGCTGTACTGTGTGCTGAGAAGTGGCCAACTCTTCTGCTATTATACCCCAGAAGAAATTGAAGCTAAAATAGAACCCACTTTGGTAGTGCCTTTTAACAAGGTAAAATATGATGCTCTTAGGCCAGTAAGGATAAAAAAAAAAAAAGTCCTAAAAAAGACATGGCTTTTGGTCACTTCTGAGTTAGCCAGTTCAATTCTGCCCCCAGATGTAAAATTCTTGAGTTGGGGGCCTTCGTTACACATCTTATTCACTAAAATGTTGTCATATTTTAAAACAATGAAACCTATTCCCTTCTCTTCTTTCCATCTCAGAGCTAGTTGTCTTAATTGGAAATCTTACACACCCCTTATTGTCCATGCACTGCTGTTGATTAGCTCCAATTTATCCTGAATATGCCTTGTTTGTACACTGTTGTTAATATGTCGTCCCCTCCATTAAACTGTGAGCTTTTTGAGAATAGGGACTCTTTTGCCTTTCTTAGTATCCTCAGTGCTGAGCACAGTGCCCAGCACATAATAGGTGCTTAATAAATGTTTATGCAAGAAGACTGGAATTATTAAAAAAAAAAAAAAAAAAGCAAAAAATAGCATGCTTCAGTCTGTATTCAGTCAATATCGGTTTTTATGGATGCGGATAGTTTGCTTCATGAGTCCCTTGGGATTGTCTTGGATCATTGTATGGCTAAGTCACTCACAAGTTCTTCCTACAATATTGCTAATTCTGCTCACTTCACTTTGCATTAGTTCATGTAAGCCTTTCCAAGTTTTTCTGAAATCTACCTGCTTGTCATTTCTTATGGCACAATAATATTCCATCACAATCATATACCATAGCTTGTTTAGCTATTCCTCAATTGATGGGCATCCATAAGTCTGATAGATAATATTTTCCATGTTCTTGTAATTTTCTTTATATCTAGATCTTGTATCCATTTAGACTTTAGCTTGGTAAATAGTGTAGGATATTGGTCTATACCCAATTTCTGCCAAACTGCTTTCTAGTTTTCCCAACAATTTTTACCAAAATAGTAGATTCTTATCCCCAAAGCTTAAGTCTTACATTTGTCAAACATAAGGTTATTATAATCATTTAGTGCTATGTATTATATGTCTACCCTGTTCCACTGATCCACCTTTCTTTTTCTTAACAAATACCACAAAGTTTTGACAACTACTGACTTATAATATAGTTTAAAATCTGGTATTGCCAAACCTTCCTTTTTTTTTTTCATTAATTCCTTTGATATTCTTGACCTTTTGTTCGTTCAAATGAATTATCATATTTTCTAGTTCAAAATAGTTTTTAGTAATAAGATTAGTTTGGGTAAAATTGTCATTTATTATATTGGCTCTGCCTACCCATGAACATTTCTCCAGTTATTTAAATCTGACTTTATTTGTATAAAACATGTTTTATAATTAAGTACACGTAGTTCATGGGTTTGTCTTGACAGATACACTTCCAGGTATTTTATGCTGTCTATGATTATTTTAAATGGAGTATCTCTTGTTGAAAGTTTTTGTTGGTGCTATCTAGAAATGCTGATGATTTATGTGGATTTATCTTATATCCTGCTACTTTTGCTAAAATTATTATTTTCAGCTAGCTTTCTAGATTTTCCAGGTATATCTAGGGTTCTCTAAGTATACCATTGTATCATCTTCAAAGTGATAGTTCTGTTACTTCAATGCCTATTTTCATGTCTTATTGCTGTAGCACTGCTTCACAGTGGAATCTCTTCATTTGCATCATCTCAAATTGCATTCCAGAATGGTTGACAGTGCATTAGGGTGCTTGTATTTGCACCACCCCTCCGTCATTAATTGTTCCTATTGTCTGCTTTACCAGTTTTTTGGGTATGAGGTAAAACTTGGGAATCATTCATTTGCATTTCTCTTATTCTTGCTGATCTGGAGCATTCTTTCATCAGACCGTGAATAATTTACAATTCTTTTGAGAATTGTTTGTGCATCTCCTATCAGCCATCCTATCTACTGGCAAATAGCTTTTGGTCACATATTTCTTGGTTATCTTTATCTGGGATCTTTATCAGATCCTGATATCCCATGAGCTCCTTGAGGGCAGGGACTGTCTTTTGTGTACCCAGATTGAGCTGAGCCTGAGACCTAGCAGGCCCTTAATAATGTTTATTGATTGAGTATGGATTTGATATAAGCCTCAACCTCTCAGCTTCTTAGCCTATTTGCATTAATTTTATATCTACTTCTAATTAACTTACCCTATTATGTGATGTCTTGTTAAGTTTTTCCTTATAAATTGTGTACAGTTCTTTCTTTTTTGGTATTAAGTGCACAGAGATAAATATTTGAAGGGAAAGAAAGGGAGCTATTTACTCTGGAGGAAGAGGGAGGAATTCAGAATTTGTCATTCTCCAACATCATCAACATCCTTCTCCCTCTTCCAGTTTGGTAACCTTTCTGTTGCCCATGATTCCTTGCTCTCCCTTAATTGTCATGTCCATCCTCACTGCTCTACTCATCAGCTCATCACCTATTGAGGCCATCTTTACTTCTCCTCTGGATGATTGCGTGGACCTTCTGTTTGATCTCTCTGCTCCCAGGCTCCCTCCTCACTTAAGTCTGTCCCCCACCACAGCTGTCAAATGCTATTCTTCAAACCCAGATCTGAACATAGCGCTCCCCTGCCCAAGAAGCTTCAGGGGTTGCCTCTAGGATAAAATACAAACTACGTTTAAAGTCCTCCACAAACTAATTCCAGCCTGTCTTTTTCCTGGCTGTGTTTTAGTAAAATCAGTTGATTTTTGGTTTTATCTTGGATAGGGCACAACATTTTAGAATGCAAAATCTTTTTAGATCTTGGTTCTGGAGGAGAGAGTGATCTCTGCCTTACTTATATCCAATTCACATTCAGGTCAAGGCATTACCTTGTGGAGAAACAAAAGATCTTATTTCTGTCATCTAGGGTATAGCTTTTCTTTCAGTCCTCACATGAATGCAGATATTTTAAAGACATTCCATGTGGGCCTTTATCCACAGCATTGATAAAATGTGGAGGAAGCGAAGTTGTACATTCAATACTTAGGTAGATTCAGTTACAAAGGACTCCTTAAGAAAATAAATAACCATGTAAACAATTGAAAGTATCTTTAGTGCTCGTGGCTAGGCCATGCCAATGTAATAAAAATGGAAATACTTACAAAGTTAATGTACAGTTTTAATGCTTTGGCAATCACACTATCAAAGAGATACTTCATAGAACTCAATAAAAGAAAAACAATTTATTTAAAGGAACAAAAGATGTAGTCTATAAAGAGAAATAACAAAAAAATGTAGGAATGAAGGGAATGGCACTTTTATACCTCAAACTGTATTATAAAGCAGCAAGCATCAAAACCATTTGGTATCCATTTAAACTATATATGAATAAATCAGTGATAGGGAGTAGACAAGGAAGAATTGGAAATAATGGAACACAATAAATCACCAAGTATATGATAAACCTGAAAACATTAATTACTTAGAAAAGAACTCCCTGTTTTGATAAGAACCAGTAGTTAGCTGGAAAGCAATCTGGCCAAGTTGGACCAACATCTTATACAATATTCTACAATTATTCAAAATGGATACATGACCTGAATATTAAAGATTACCATTAAAAAAAATTAGAAGAAAAACACATTACGTATCTTTCAAAGTTAAAGTTAAGAAATATGTTCTTAACCAGGCCAGGGACAGAGCCAATCATAAAAGATAAAATAGATAATTTTGATAAAATGAAATTGAAAAGCTTCTGTGCAAACAAAATGAACTCATCTAGGTAAAGAAGAGAATCAGTCAAATGGGGGAGAGAATGTTGGTATTAAATTCTTAGATAAGGATTTGTTATCCAAGATTTTTGGACAGCTAACAAAAAGGCCATTCCCCAGTAGATAAATGGTCCAAGGATATGAATAAACAATTCTCAAAAGAAGAATTCAACCACCTGAAAGAAGCTCCAGATCACTAATTATAAGAGAAATGCAAATCAAAACAACCCTGGAGTTTCACCTCACACCCAGCCAAGGTAGGAGTAGTCAATGCTGGAGGGGATATAGAAAGACAAGCATATACTAACCATATGCCTTGTTGGAGCAATGAATTAGTTGACCACTTTGGGAAGCAATTTATACTTATGCAAATAGAGTGACTGAAATATACATATACGTGTCCTTTGAAACTGAGATTCCGAGGTCCCATAATGCATCAACATGTTTATAGTATCTCTTTTTGTAGCGGCAAAGAACTTGGAACAGAGTAGATGCTCATTAGGGAAAAGGATCTGTGAATTAAAGTATGTAAATGTAAGGAATATAATGTGTAGAAAGACATGAACTAATGAAAGGTAAAACAACCACAGCAAAATACTACCCACAATGGCTACAACACAGTAAATGGAGAGAAGCACAACCACAAAATAATCAGTCAAACATTTATTAAGTGCCTACTGTGTGCTAAGCGCTAGGGACATAAAACATGGCAAAAGACCATTCCTGCCCTTACGGAGCTTATAGTCTAACAGGGAAGACAACATGGAAATAAAGTGAGCTATGGACACAATAAATAGGAATTGAGAGGGAAGGGATTAGAATTTGAAGAGGTTGGGGGGAAATGCTACAAAATGCCAGAGAACAAGCCAGAAACCAAAGAGGAGATAGAAGAAAGCACCCCCACCCCTCCTCGCAGAAGTGGGGGAGGACAGAGACAAGGATCCATGAGTGTAGAACATTGATATACATTGTCAGATTTTTTTTTCCAATTTATTGATCTATTTTTTGGGGTGGGGGTGTTTCTTTTTAAAAAAAAATTTTAATTATTCAGTGGGACGACTCTGGAAGGAGTAAGGGGAAAAGAAACAGAAAGTTTAGGTGATGTCAAAACCAAAGATATCAATAAACATTTATTTTTTTAAATTGCCCAGCACAGGGGTCATGGCCCTCCTTTATCCCTCTTGCAACTCCCCGAGTTGAAATGGCTTTTAAAGTCACTGCTCTCTGAGGCGTGTTCCCTTAACCACTTTTGAATCCACCTAATTATGTTATTATCCCCTTTCCATGGCAGAGTGTTCCCCCAGAGGCCAGGGGGAGCCCTCTTCCCACTCACTATTTAGATCTACTTTGTCCAACAGCATGCAGTCCAATGGCTCTCCTCTCCTCTTTCTGTGGGCAAATCAGGCCCGATAGAATTATTGTCTTTTCAGGGACTTGGATCTAGGGTTTCCTTTTAATGCTTTCCAGCATTCCAAAAATTGAATTTGAACATCTTATGGGAGTAATATTGCTTTATAGACCTTTAGCTATGAGGTTTATAAATGAATGGTAGATATAAAATAAATGTTAACGAGGAAACCCTCACAACATCTCACTACAGTAGAAACTCTATTGTCCTTTCCATGTCTCTGCTGATCCTTCTGGTTCCTGGCATGAATGTCAGAATGAGGAGCATTTTACTGATTCTTTTCCATTTTATTACTGTTGAAAGTAGAAATAACGAATACTCTGCACTACAGTTATCACATGTGCTTTTTGTTTCATTGCTCAGGTTAGGAGCTGCAGATAAGTCTCCCCCCATCCCCTTTACGCCAAGGAAGATTCAAACAGTGGCTAGATTTTCATCTCATGGAAATTAGCTCAGTCAGTATAGAGAGCCCACATGTTACTCCTATGAAAACCCTTGCATTCTTGATATGGGTTTGAAGTTTGAATATTGAAAATCATTCCTAGGAACGACTCCTTTTAGGCCTGGACTGATCACGAAGTAGTCTGATTTCTCATTGTGTCCTGGGCAGCTGTGCCAGGCGAGCACCACAGTCTTTGGGTGGATTGTTGAGCTAAGCACCAGTTGGTGTTTTATCTGAACTTTTAGGAAACCAGAATCCGCACAGTGGATAATGACCCCAAGAAAAGAGCGAATCGTTTCTTCGTGATCAACCTCATGGCTGATAAGGTGGTGACGCAGACATTTGCTGCTGATAGTCTGGAAGAACTTTCCAAGTGGATGGACGTTTTCAGACAGCATATTTTTGACCTCAGTGAGTAGACATTTGGGGCTTTCTAGGGGCATGGTTGTGTGTAATAAATACTGCTGCTACGGGGCACCCTGGTCCACAGAGCTCCAGGGGTGGGGGGGTGAAGACCCGAGTTACTCACTGTATTGACTCTGGGCAAGTCTGCCTCTCTTTCTTCATCTGCAAAATGGGAATAGTGGTAGTAGTAATCATTGCAACTCTTGTGAGGATTAAATGAAATAACATTTGTTACAGTGCCTGGCATATCATAGATGTTTAATAAATACTTATCCCCTCCCTCTCCTTTTTCTTAAGATCCATTTACAGTGATTTCCTCAAATTGCAAGGTCTTTTACCTCTTCCAATCAAATAGGCAGTGAACAAGTGTTTGCACCTGCTGTGTGCCACTCACTGTGCTAGGCACTGAGGATACAAATGGGAAAAGGAGCATGCATTCTATTCAAAGAGTCGATATCCGAATAAATCTGTGCAAAATAGATGAGGTAAATATGTTGGAGAAAGGGCAGTGGCTGCTGAAGAGAGCAAGAAGGGCTTCCTGGAGAAGATGGGGGCCGAACAGTGTTTAGAGGGAAACAAGGGAATTCTGAGAGGCAGAGAATGGCAACCTATGCGTGGAGAACAGCCTGTACAAAGGTGTGGAGGTGAGAGATGGAGCGTCATATGTGAGGAACAGTAAGAAGGCCAGTTTGGATGGACTGTGGCTAACGTGTTTAAAAGGTTGGAAGTGTAGGTTGGGGCCAGATTGTGAAGGGCTACAAAAACTAACTAGAGAACTGATATTTAATTCTAGAGAAAGAGGGAGCTATTGAAGTGTATTGAGTAGGAGAGTAATCTGGTAAAACCCATGCATTAGGGAAATTACTGTTAGTTGTTTGGAGGTTGGTTTGGAGATGGAAGGACTTGCGACAGGAAGACAAATTGAATGGGGGAGAGGGGATAAGAACCTGAGTGAAGGTGGTGATCATGTGAGCAGAGAGAAGGGGGTGGTCATCTTCAAGAGAAATGTTGTGGAGGTGGAAATAAGATCTGGTGATGGTTTGAATATATGGGATGAGGAAGAGTGAGTAACCAAGCATAATGCCAACCTGAGTGATGAACAGGATCGTGGTGCCCTTGCAATGCATAAGGAACTTCTGAATGGGGAAGGATAATGAAAGAATGAGTTCATTGGTGGGCATGCTGCATTTGAGATGCCTATGGACATCCAGAGCTCAGGAGAGAGACTGAGGCTGACTTGGGAGTCATCTGCATAGAGATAATGATGCTTACATCCATAGGAGCTAATGTGGTCTCCAAGAGTACAGAGGGAGAATGGACAAGGACCCAGCATAGGTTTAGGGTCCTCCCAGAATTAAAGGATGTCGTACGTAAGACGGACCAGTAAAGGAGACTTAGAAGGAGAAATCAAACATGCAGGTAGAGATCAAGAGAGCAGCGTCACAACCCAGAAAAGAATCAGCATCTGGGGGCAGACCTTGGTCAATAGGGCCAAAAGCTTGAAGGAGGTTGAGAGGCATACGGATGGAGCAAAGCCATCAGACGAGGTCATTAAGAGATCACTGGTGACTTTCGAGAGAACATTTTGAGTTGAGGGAAGTGGGAAGCTAGATGGTAGAAGATTCAGAAGTGAGTGAAAAGTGAAAGCAATGGTGTAGACGTCTGTTTCTACCAGATTGGCTGTGAAAAGAGATGTGGTATAATGGCTTGAGCTAGGGGAGACTTTGGTGTGTTTGCAGACAGCAAGGAAGGAACCAATAGAAAGAGAGGGTTTGAAGATGAGAGAAGGGGAAGAGATGATGAAAAAAGAGTGAGGGGATGGGGTCAAGGGCACATGTAATGGGGTTGGCCTTGGCGAGAGAGTCACCATCCTGTGGCTAAGAATCCAAGAACAGTGTTGTAACGGGATTCAAGCAAACAAGATGCAACCCATTATAATATCTAAGAGCCAGGATCAAAGCGTTATATTTAGGATTTATCATCTTCAATCCTTTTACTTCCTTACACTCCCTCCCCAATTACTAAAGAATTGCTAGGATAATAAGGTTGTCTATGTTGTTAAGCTATGAACTCACTGTCTTTTAAAGAGAAAGCAATCCTTATAGAAACTCTTTGGCCATAGCAATCCGTGAAAGAAAGACAACTGAATACAAACAAGGCTTCTATGTTACCACCTTCTAATTTAGTACTGGCAGTAACCAGTAGCAGAAAAGGAGATAGAAGTTCTAAGGATTGAGCCCAACATTCACTCTCCTTAGTACTCCAAATTGGGGGTTCTCCATTGACCAATGACTGGACATATGACTCGAGTAACTAATTCTATCAATATTGACATGTATTAACAAGGAGATGGCAGCTTAACAAATACGTTTCTCACAGGTTCTTCTTAGAATGGCAAATAAAGAAGGTGTTGCAATTGTCTTTACCATATGTCTCAAGGCAATAAAAAGTACTATTTCATGGAAGACATAGCTATCTTATATTGCTGGGGGCTGAATGAGCATTTTCCAAAAAAAAAACATGAAATTATTGTAGAGGAGGACGAGGACGCAAAAATCCTTCCAAGAATTTGATAAGACTTTCTAAATTAAATCAACATCTACTTAATATCCAGAGACTCCAGTGCAAGGGAGGACAAAGGGAGGACTGTGAAAAATGCACAACAACAACAAAAAGCGTGTAGACTACACTGAGGTTTTACATATAGCCTGAATGTTTGTTGGGAAGAAAGTTGGGAGGCACTGTATGTATCAGGCACCAAACAAAATCACAAAAAACTATACTGATTATGTATCTATATATATCTATATATCTATATATATATATATAGATATATAGATATATATATAATATAACACTTGGTTATCATTGTCTGAATTGTTTCTGAATCAGACATCTGCAGGCAGTCTGAGTATCACTGTTAGAGCTCACTGAATGAGATCCATCGTCACTCAGGAAGGTTTCCTCTTACTATCCATGCAGGAAAAATCAGATGGATGAAAAATGCCTGTTGACGAGTAGTTGATTTCTCCCCCCTTTCTCCTGAAAACAGGTTGATTCAAAATATTTTGTAATAGGTAAAAAATTTCAACAGACTTGAGGAAGGGAGTCCCATGACAAAGTCTGGTCTGATTGAATACAGAGTAGGAGAATCCCGGGTGAAGCTGTGGGGATGGCTAGGCTGTTTGGCTAGAATACACAGGAGATCAATGAGAACTAGAGCATTGGACCACTTGAAGCACTGTATAACTTTCCAAACACGATGCAGCCAGCTCTCCTCCTACTGCGCCATTTTGGACCCAGGCCATTGGCTGCGGATTTTCTATGTTGTCCTAGAGACGGTAGAGTGCAGCTAGGTGGCACCGTAGTCCATAGAGTGCTGGTCCTGGAGTCAAGAAGATTCATCTGCGTGCGTTCAAATCCAGCCTCAGACACTTACTAGCTGTGTGACCTTGGGCAACTCACTTAACCCTGTTTGGCTCAGTTTCCTCATGGGCTCCAGCCATGGAGGGAGATGGCAAACCACTCTAAAATCTTTGCCAAGAAAACCCTAAGTGGGGTTGTGAAGAGTAGGATATGACTGAAACAACTAAACAACAACAAAGAGGCTGAGTGCAAGAAGGTGAGTCAGGCAGAGGCCTCAGGAAGATTGTTTGGGTGAGTGTCCAGGATGGCCGTAGCCCTTCCTTCCTAGCTGCCACCGCCTTCCCTCCCCCCCAGCCCAGCGTTGACCCACACATGAGCCAGGTAAGTGAGGAGGGACATGAGATGATAACTAACTGTAAGGCTAGAGATGCCTGTTCACTCTGTACCATGGAGGCTGCTTCTGTGTGAGCTCAGCATTTGTATTTAATATTTCTTAAGGGAGATTTGGTTTGGATGTTAAGATGCAGCCACCCACCACCATATGCACCGATTTTTATTCCCTTGCCAGATGATCTGCGTTCAGTTGTGAAGATTCGGCCAGTCAACATTTCACCTAAATTTATGCTCCTCTGCCTTCAGTAAAATTTGCTGTTGTGAGGGGTACAGTGGGGAAGGTGGTATTATGTTCCAATTTCAAACAAGATTAGTATCTTTTACGAAATTCAGCCAGCAGTTTAACAATGAAACTCCTTCAGCTAATCGGGCGCAGTAAAAACGCTGCACTTAAGAATTTGTCGAGAAAGGCAGCAGAGACATCCTGCTTGGCTTCTCCACAATCTGTTTCATTATCTTCTCATTAGACTAGAGGTTGATTTGCGGGGGGGGGAGGGGGGGGGAGCAGCTAGCTCTTTATGTCTTTATTTAAAAGAGAGGGAAAGTACCGGGCTGAGATCCCCTGAGATTTAAACTTGGCTTAGAGCAGTCTTGAAGGTTTATCCTCGGAATTTTATTCCTTTCATAAATTGCTGTCTTCCTTGTTTCCATATCTTTACCATATACCATACTTAACAGGCTGTAATAAAACATACTGAAAGGTTTTTTATTTTCCTTATTTACTTGAGGTGAATAGATTGAGAAGTTGTAACTATTAATTAACCTGCTAGTGTTTTAGAGCAGAGCTCAGAAAACTGTGCAGATAACTTGAGTGAAAATGAGATGTCTTTAATTTCTTAAAGCCAGGAAAACCAGTCAGACTGGATCATGAGCATGGATATTGAGAACGTAATAAAATGCAGGGAACTGTGGGCCATAAATCAGTCTTAAAAAGTTCCATGCATTTGTACTACAGTCGTTTTCCTGGTCCTGTGGAGGACATAAGCATTGTGCCAGGGGATGACTAAATGTCTTTATATTGGGTAATTAATAGCAATTGCAGTGACGGACAGTGATGTTATCTGTGCATAGTAGGTCCTCCATAAGTACCGGAATGAAGAAATGAACAGACGAATGAATGTATGTTACTGGAGTCCCACCAAGGGAACTCAATCTGACGGTTTGATTTTAAAATAAAAGTTTTGAAAGAACACTTAATCTTTTCCAAGCTCTTTAAATTTAACTTTGTCCAAGATTAGATTTTTTCAGATTCCAATGCCTACTCATTTTAAAATGTCTCTCCTAAAACAAATTTGCTCAAGTTAGAAATAGATTGTGTGATATCTATCCAATCTTTTATTAATAACTGGTTTCACTTAAAGAGAAGAGAATGATTTTCCAACATTATATGATTGTCAAAAGAATGATAATCATCTTAGATAATAGAACAATTGTTTGTTAAATTGGCAATTCTTATTTCTTAGTTACATTTTCCCAAATTAAAATTATGCCTCAAAACTACTGGGTTTTTTTTTCACACATAATTTCATCTCAGATAATTTTTACTTTTGATTTTATCTTAGAGTGCTTTTATTCATTATGTAAATGAATATCTCCATATTTTAACCATGAGTGGGAATAACAAAGTGGTGGTTACTGTCCTTTTAGTAAAGAAGCAAAACATTTACTCTCTTAATGCCATAGCTTGATATCTGCACAAGGGACTTTTCCTTTTTTAAAAAAAATTATTATTCTATTTTTTAATATTGTCATAACATCAAGATTTGGGTTTTTAAACTAACAGGAGAGTTAGGGCTTTATGCAAGTTTATTTAATGGTGCTGTTTTTCAGGTTTACTCACAAATCAAATTAAATTTACTGGCATCTGTTAAAAATAAAATATATGGATTTGCATTTATATTTTAGTCTAGTCTGTCTTTTCTTTCTCAGGCCAATGGAAGCATTGTTGTGAAGAACTTATGAAAATTGAGATTATGTCACCACGGAAACCACCTTTGTTCTTGACAAAAGAGGCGACCTCAGTCTACCATGATATGAGTAAGTGGGATTTGTCTTTTCCAAGCTGCAGGGTAACAAAAACAACATTGTCTGTATTCAAACAGCTTGTTCTATTGACATTAAAATGCTGAATTTTTTAGGGGCCGTCAGAATGAATGAAAAAAGACTATGATTACATCCTAAGGAGTTCATGTTTAATATATGAATTAATACAAAATTAATGAATACACATTTTTCATAGCTTGAATGCTTAAGATCAAACACAATTTTAAGGCTTCAGTATGAATAAAGGTACAGGGGAAATAAACATTAACTGAGTAGCTGATGAAAATTTTGAAAATGAAAGCTTACAATATTCCAAATTACAGTCATGTACTGTAATTTTTTCTCTTTTATTAAATTCATTTTTAAGTGGTTTTGGAAAATGAATATTAATGAAAGGAAAGCTTTCATCTTTGGCCAAAGAAAATTGCAATGTTTGGCACTTGGAAAAGTTTGAAACTTCCAGTCTCATTGATATTCCAATCCCCCATATTTTAAAGGGTATTTAAGATCTAAGCTTTGTGAGTTTTCAGCCATATTGTGAATAGATAGGAAATCACAACGACCTTCTGTTTTAATCTATCATCGTCCCCATGCATGCAAACTTACACACTCCTCAAGCCTGGCAGAGTGTTTGAAAATACTATGTTTTGTTTAAGAGTAAATATTCAACTAGCTCTTTACGCTCAGGACACGTTCCTTACAGAAGAAGGTGGATAGATGTGAGTGGGGAGGCCTCATTCTTTGGCTCTGGGCTTTCCCGCCCGGCCAAGACGTTTACAGTCTAGAAGCCAAATGTTCATGCAGTCACAGCAGTCTGAAGTTTTGTCATGCAGGCCGTGGTGGAAATGGAAACATTACCCTTAGTCAGAAGTGAGGTGGAGCTTTTCCACCTAGAGCTGTTCATATATATGTATATAAGTTTATGAATGTGGATGTGTATGTTACATATATACAGATATACTTTCTAAAATATTTATAATATAAAAACATATTTATATACACACATATCTGTACATATATGTGTATATGTATGTGTGTATATAAATGTAAGTATAGATGTGAAATATAGAATATAAAATCTATTTAATACGCATGTATACATATATGTATATGTGTATATATCATAATATATAAGTATATATAATATATTAAATACACAATATATATGTAGACATATAATATGAAATGTAGACTATAAAATGTATTTAATACACATGTATATGTATATATAAGTGTATTGTGTAATATATAAGTATACATATATGTATGTGTGTATAGATGCACATGTGTGCATATGTAACAGACTTCCAGATTGCAAAAATCCCTTCAGGAGCAGTTTTAGTTTAGGGCATAACATCCCCTAGCAGTGTTCTCTATCCACGAGTAGGAACACTTTTGACCAGCTGCTTGCGGGAGAATTGTATTGATTAAGAAACATAGAATTTTAGACCTTGAGGTGATAGGGAGCATAGAGTGTATCTATTCCAAACCCGTCGCTTTACAGATGAGGAAGCTGGGACTCGAGATGTTCGTTAACATGAATGGAATTTTTATTTTGACTTTTTGTTTTTTTAAACTTGATTATCTTTTATCACAAACATCCTAAAATGATTTAGACTTATCTAAGGTATTGGTCTAAGATCCTTGCTAGCTCTTAAAGTTAGGAAATGAATAGTCTCTCATGAAAAATTATTGTAACTTTGGAATTTCATCACCGTTTTTCCCCCTTAAAATCATTATAGGCATTGATTCCCCAGTGAAACTTGAGGGTTTAACTGATATAATAAAGAAGAAAATTGAAGATACTAATGGGCAGTTCCTCATTGGTGAAAAACAACCATCGCCCCCATGGGGTGCATTCTTTGATGGGACTCATCAAATAGTCTTTGAGAAAAATGTTGAGGTGTCTCCAACAAATGAACAATTAAGCAATAAAGATGGGAAGAGAAAGAAAAGGCGGGCACCTCTTCCTCCTTCGGATAAGCCACCATATCGTACAAAAGGACAGACAGAGGCAGATCAGTTGGACAAGGAGAACATCTGGGAAAAGACCAGCTTCGTGTCTCGCACCTCCTCTTTGGGTACATCAGTGACACAGACCCATGGCTTCACCTCATCAACTGCTTCCCAGTGGAGATAATAGTTTAATTGGTGGTGAGATCTTGGCCTCTTCGGGCATGAAACCAGATGTAGAGCGCCAGCTCCAGGACAGAAATCCGTCAAAGACGTTCTTGACCAAGATCTTGGTTGTAATTCCAGATGTAGCTCTTCCAGAATACATGGCTTAGCAAAAGCCACTGTTGGTTGCTGTTAACCACTGAGACTATTGTTGCCTCAGAGGCTGTGAGATGTATTGCTGCTTAATGACTGATAACTATTCATATTGCCATGGATAGGGATTTTTTATACTATTAATTAGGGGAGAAAACTGGTTTGTTTTTTAGGAGGGGGGAATATATTTATTTTCTATGCCTAATTGTCTCCATGTAGTTTCCACAACAGAATGAATGAGTCAGACTCTAAACGTAGTCTTGGAGTCTGGAAGAGTTAACTTGCACCCACCTCAACACCAGGGTGTAAAACTTTGCCCCCAGGGAAAATAAGAGCTGAAAAATTGAGGGTTGTTGGAGAGAATCTCTGGTTCTGTTATTAAATATGTGTCATATTCATCCTGTGAATTTTAATGGGAATCAAAGTTTGTTTTAATTCATATTTCAAAAGTTTTATTCAAACCACAAATTGCCGAATCCACCCAAGAAAGTTTCTTTAATATTCTGGAATTCTCATCTGACATTTCACTGGCTCCAGTTCAGTATTAGTCACCAGTTTATAGACTTGACCTTTTAAATTCGTGGGATAAATTCTGGAATCATATTGAATTCTTCATCTTTAAAAGGAATTTTTAATACACTGTTTAAAATTGTTTCCTTGATGTGCCCTGTAGCTGTGTTTTACCATTAATCCCTGAAAGTCAAATATACCCAGTTTTGGCCTACAGAAATTACACGTGACTACATGTTCTATATGCATTATTGAACAAGAAATTCACTTTTCTATATCCAGTGCTAATTTCCTATTGTGTAACATTGGATTTTCAAACTTTGGTTTGTAATTGAGTGCTTGGCCAACATTTTAACATTTAATTAACAGTTGTGTTCAAAGGAGATGGCAGATTAGGAATTCTCAGAAAAGTTGAATATGGTATTAATTTTCCATATTTAACTCAGATAAATAGTGTTGGTATTAAACCTGATCTTCCTTTCTTAGTTAGGTTTATAATGTGTTGTCTCTGTTATCTACCTAAAGTCAGATTCTTACAACAGTGACATAATTTCCATAGGTGGTAATTTCCATAGCAACTAATCATGGTGACAGAAATAGGATTATGAATTCAAGGAGATGGATAAACAGCAGGAACACATGAACCCTGTAAAGAGACAAAAACCCCTTTTCTTGTTATAATGTTCCTTGTAAGCAAGAACAGAGGCCTGCTTCTTAAAAAATCTGATCCAAATTTCCAAACAAAGCATTTTCCATAAGGTGTCAGTAGCAACACTAACCATCTCAAATCTTACTGAATTCTGAATGTTGTTGGAAGAAGGAAATAAAAATACATGGATTAAATTACTGCCCTGTTCTCTAATCTCTGGGGATCTTTTTAAAGCTATTAAAAGCTCCAAATCTTGGATCAGGCCTGCATTATTACAATGCAAAAATAAGTGCTTGGCCAAAAGGGCCTCTGTTAATTTAATTGGAGCCTTTATTTTTTTTTTCCTGATGATAGCTACGGCCATATATGTAATTTTTAAGTGTAGAATATGTATGTGTGCCTATATACATATCTGTGTAGAAGTGAACATGTAGAATGATGCCGCTTTATCTGGTATCGGTACTTTTTGGAGTGGCCAAGATATATAGAAAGAGTAAGGGAGAATTTCCCAACCACTGAAGGAACAAGGAGAGACAAGGTCCTCAGTGAGAAGGCAACCCTGAATACTTGGCTAGTGTAATTTATGGAAGATTCTGCCCATGAAATCCTAGAAATAAAACTAACTTCCTTTCTCCAGTCAAAGAAGTTTATATTAATTGCAGTTTTGATTGCCCTTTTAACAAATGACATTGAAAAGTCTAAAAGGAAAATACCAGCATTAAAATGTAAAGTAATTCTTTTTAAAAAATAGAGCTGTTTTAGGTAGTATTTTCTGTCATCTGTTTCTACTTAATTGTATATCTAGACTATGCCGGAGGCAGAATGGGCTGTGTCACTGGGATCGGCCATTCATTCTCTCTTTCATAGCTGGAACCACTAACCCTCTCTCGAAACTTTTGAATTCTGTCCTTCTCATTTCTCATGTAAATTACAGCAGGGAGGGATTTTAGTTTGATGTGAGTTAAAAGTTCCTGGCTACAAAAATAATTTACACACCAGTCGTACCTTTCCTCAGTGGACCACTTTGAAGGTCTTAGAAATGGATGTCTCCACTCTTTCTCTGCCTTTGGACATGGATGAACTGGAGCCCTTTATATTCTTCCTGATGACCTCTTGGTTACTGATGGGCCCAGACCAAGAATAACACAGGTTCTCTTTATTTTAAAGTTTTCATTTTATTCTTTCAGTCAACAAACATCTTTTCTCTCCCTCTCTCTGTCCCCTCCCATGAAAGAGAGAAAGAAAAAAAAGACCTTTTAATAAATATGCACAAGTCAAGCAAAGCATGTCCCACATTGGCCATATCTGAAAATGTCCATCTAATTCTTCATCTTGGATTGTAACTTCTGTTGTAAATAAAGTGAATAATAATAATTCTCATTTGTATAGCACTTTAAGGTCTGCAGAGTGATTACAGATAGGTAAATTATGTGAATAGATTCTAAATAGGTAGAGGTCAATTGATTATAAATAGTACATAAAGGAAAATTTGTATTAATGCTAATTTAATAGAAACGTATATGAATTGAGTGACCATTAAGCCGAATACCCAACATCTGATTCAATAAGGACGTAGTCTAGAGTAATCCGATCCTATTTGTGAGCCCCAAGTAAATTGTTTGCCCTTTAGAGTTTCACTAACTCTGAGGTATCTCTGGTACCATTTGCACACTGAAGGAAATAACTCATTATTGTTACCATAATGTCTGGAAAGAGTTAAACTGTTTCCAACCCCCCCCCCCCCCCCCAAAAAAAAACTAAAGCAGTTTCCTCTCTTGCTATTGGTGAGATCTGGACCCTGTTTGCTTATGGTTTATTAGATTAAGTAGCACAAGAGCATGGAATCTAGTAAAAAAGTATTTTAAGTTGTACATTTTTCCATTATGCTCTGGTGTAGACAACTGCATAATTACCATTAGGGTATCTGTTAGCTCTAAAAAAAAAAAAATCCAGGATAAATTAATGAAACTTCTTTCCTAAGCTGTTGTAATAGAACAGGGACTTTACTGTCTCCTAGCTATACCATGGCCTAATAAATGTCATCACTCTACATGTTAAAGTGAAAATATAACTCCATAAAGTAATATTCTTCCTAGAAACAACTTCTAGGAAATATGCCTGTGAAAGGATTGTATATAATATACATAACATTACAAATATTACAAAAACATACAAAATACAGGAATAGAGCTAAATTAATGACTCCCAAAAATCTTCCTATTTTAATTGGTATCAATTGGTAGGTATTGGTCAATCAACTATACCATTTCCTACTCTAAAGCAAGTTTTCTAATTTAATTCTAAATTTATTTATCCCCACAAACTTACAGTCATCGATGGGAGCTACTAGAAAGAATGTTATTTTTCCCCCTAGACAAACTCATTGAATGGAAAGTTTTCTGGACTAGGATTTCTGTCTCCTCTTTGCCTCTCACATACACACCCTATGGAAGATGTCCTTGTCATTACAAAAACCTTCCAGGCCTCTATTATCCCTTGAAGAAATTGTTGGAAAGTACTGAGTTAAACCCATGATGAAGTTCATCAAAGACCTGTTCGTTTTATCTCATTTCCAATAAAGGGTGGCAGTTTATGATATAGAGTAATGTATGCTGAGTTGTAAAAAAAATGCTGGTTCAGCTTTAATGAATGGGCTGTCCTTTCGCATCCTTATGTGCCCCTTTAAATTGTTTCTTCTTCGTGTAGACAGACGATAAACTTGAAACACAGCCTTTTTTGACTAGAAAATTCAGCCCAATCTTGGTAATGACGGTCTAATTGGTGAAACTCGATGGAGCTAATAGATGTGTGGCAATTCTGTGATGCTATTCTGATGCTCAGAAGATGACTCTGGTAGCAGATTTACATTTTATGCCCTGCTATGTGAATTTCCTCTAATAGCATTAATGTATTTTTAAACAATGACAGTCACAGTGTGTTTGAATACAAAAATAATAGAATCACAGAAAGGGGACAGAGATGTAAATCTAGAAGGCGTTTGGTTGGCATATAATTTACACCTCCTAAGGTAAACAGCTTTTCAGGAAATAGCAGACATACCAATTCTCTGGCAAGTTTTGCAAAATCCATTTTAACTTTCTCAGGTACCCCCTGACCTATGAGAGCACCTTTTTAAGTGGATTCAAATGTATATGGAAAAGTTAAATCCATTTATAAATGCCTTATCTTTGCCCTTTAGGGTTCTATTAAATGTATTTTACCTGATACTATTAAAAATGGAAATTGTGATGATTTAGAGACAACCCACGTAAGGTCAGTTAGACATGTTTGTATTGTATAAGCAGTCAAGTATTTCTTTAGGCATGGATTCAAGCACCTCAGCCACCTGCTGAGAAGTTAATTAGTTCAGCCCCAAATGGAATTATAGGGCAGTGTGGTACAATTTATGTGAAATGCCATTTTAAAAAGCAATCACCTGTAATGCGGGGTGAGGAGAGGAGAGGTAGTGGAGATAGAATCCTTTACTCTGAACTGGCAGACAAATGCCATCGCTCCAAGAATTTTTTTTTGATATGGAAGGAATTTAGCAAAACACAAATTGTATTTTAAGAGTGAAATATTAAAACACTAATTAAACTTTAACCGATGACAGTTTAATTTCCTGGTACGTCTTAAATGTTCCATTAGTCTTAAACTGTAATGTAGATGGCGATGTCTTTTTACACTTACATTTCAAAGGCATTGCCGAAGTTAAATGTTTACATATTTACTTTTAATTGCTTTATGGGTACCAATCATAGGCAAAGGTTTGTTCTGGATGGTCTAACTTTGCAGTTAATGCTTTTTAGCTTTAACAACTAGGAAGTACCACTTTATTTTTGATTAAAAAATGTTTTCATCTGACATGAAATTGTTTAGGCAATGTTATTTTGGCTGAGAAATATGTGTAATTTGTATTCTGTATGTTTTTTCCCCTTAAAATCTGTGTTAAACTGAAATTTCTGGATTAAAGGGATCTATTATACCAAGGACTTATATTTCCTTAAGCAAGTAGAGGCCATGAGTTCACGGCAACTATAAATTCAAAGAACTTGTTCATGAGTACATTTTTTTTTTTTGCCTCTTCCTCAAAGAACTCTCCTCTAGGTTAATACTGACAATAATAAACAGTATGGTGACCCGAGCTCAGTCAAATGGACAGACATGCAAGGCTTGTGTTAATTGTAAAACTAATGTCCTCTTAGCCTTGTCTGATGTAGCTAACATTTGTCAAATGCAGAATTAGATGTATTTAGCATCCCACGCTCTTCGCATATAACCTTTCCTTGAAAACTAGAGTTCCTCTTTTCATAGTCCATATTACCAGCAATCCATGAAATGGAAGCTCTGAAGCTTACTCATAGCTTAGTGATGTGGAATTTCCCCAATGTCTAAGTAGCTCTGATAGTAAATTAGGCACTTGAGAGAAACTGTCTCTCCTTGCCACTAAGAGACCACTTATTTTAATGCCACGTCCCTTAGCACCTCATTTATTCCCAGGGGACAACTTAAGATATGGGGATGGGAAGAGAAAAGAGCAATGAAGTCGTCACTTACTCAATTACTATGTT